TTTAAATTTTATATAGTAATTTTAGGCAGGAATCCAGCAATTCCTACATATAAACATAAAATATTTTATAAGAAAGTTCATTTGAAAATTTGTATATTTAAACTTCGAGATTCATATCATGTGTTAAAAGTACAATTTTGGTTTATGTAAACATAAAGGGTGGTTACATTGGGGTGAAAGTTGGAGTCCAGAAAATTTTAATTAGTGATCTGCAAAATTTTGCACCAAATTCAGTTATGAAAATTATGCAGATGTTTCACAGATCACGAATTAAAAGTGTTGAATGCTAAATCATGGTTGTGCTGTATTTTTGTTTCAATGATCAACACATTTTGCCATCCATTTCTATCTGATATACTGTGTAACCGAACTCTACCCTTAATATATTTTCTTTTTTGACAGTTTTTTTTGGTAGCAACTTGGTTGATTTCTTTAACAACAAAGAATTAATTATTAACTATTGTTTTCTTGGTGGTAATTTTTGTATTACTTTAATGAAGAAGGTATTTTTAGGTAGCAATTTGGTTTATTCCTTTGACAAAGAATAATTATCAATTATTGTTTTTTTTTTTTTTGTGGTAACTAATTATTCCTTTAATGATAAAGAAACTAATTGTCAAATTATTCTTTTTTTAGGTGGTATTTTTAACAAAGGAATTGATTATCAATTATTCTTCTTACTTGCTGGCGTTTTTTTTAAAAAATTAGTTGATTCCTTCAAAAACAAAAGAAACTAGTTATCAATTATTCTGATTGTTTTGACAATGACTTGTTTCTTAAAAATAAAAAAAAAATTTCCTTTTGCAGTTTTAGCAAAGTATCTTCTTTATATGTATAAAAAACTTTGTTTTGGCTTAGGGATAATATGTGTAATGGTTAAAATCATTACATATAATATTTTTTTCATCTTTGTTTTATTTTAATATTTATTATTATTGATTCAGGTGTTATAACAACTGAATTACCTACTGATGAAGTTATTGTTGAAGACATTCTCATTTCAGAAGGTGTTCATGTTGAAGAGGGAAGATGTGAGTGAAGAGAGCAAGGAAGGACCAGTCATATCTGTAGAAGAAGGAGGGAAAGTACTTGAAAATGCTAAAAAATCCTTGGAACAAGAATTTGCTACAGAAAAAGATGTTAAGTATGTTAAAGAGTTAATAAAATGTTTAAATAATATTGAAGATAAGGCAAAACATCAGTATTTGTTGACAGAATTTTGTTAATTTTATTGTTATATTAAATAAAAAATTTTTTATTAAATTTTTATAAAAATTTGAAGTCATGTGAATTATCAAATTGCTTTAATTATATCCCACCTTAGTTATATCCCACAAAAATACCAAACAAAAGAGGAAATATAAAAGAGGTATGACTGTATAAATATTTCAAGCTTTATATATCATTAGCTGTATTCACAAATTGGGTTGGATTGGATTACCCCTTAAATCCTGTTCACAAACAAGCAGGGACAATGAATTTCTGTGGCAAAAAAATCAAAATCTGCCAGGTCTGAGTTATTATACATCATATTTAAAGTTTTCAAAGAAGTTTCTGAAAGATTTTGTCTATTGCTATCTAAATATTGTTATATATTGAGAACCATATGTATTCCAGAGCAATTTCAGAAAGAATTGGCAATTGGTCTTGAATATTTATCCAATATTCATTTAAATCTATTTTGTCAATTAAATCATCCCACAATAAATTGCCCATTCATTTAGTAATTCATCAGAAGGATTTTCTAATTCTTTGATTGATCTATATTGACGTAAGTTTTTTCTTTCCAAAAGATAAAAAGGGGATGAGCAGGATGTGAAGGAATATGTGCATTAAATATGTTAAGGGCAGCTTCAAAAGCTACATGAAAATTAGGGTAAAAATCACTTGGATTAAAATTATGAGAAATTATAGTTAAATCAATTTCAAACCAAAATCAGAAGAATTACAATTGCTTTGTAAAAAAGCATTTAAATGATAAAGATGTCTTTCTATGAATGGAAAAAATTTTTTAATTAAAATGTTATAAAAATAGTAAGATATTCACCTTGCGTTACAAAAATAGAAAGATATCTAGCATCTAACCAATTTTAGATATAGTTCTTCACATATACATACTTCTGCGATTTCTGCGGTTTTCTGCTTAAAGCAGAAAATCATCGTCCTTGCGTCCTTGTTCACAAATTGAAGGTTATCCCTGGATATTCCTGGATAATCCCTGGGTTAGGATTATATTATTTATATTGTTCATACTTTAAAATTCTGAACCTACATTTTTGTTGGATTATAATGAGAATGATTGGATAAATTCGTTATGTTTTGTACTTTTTTTTAAAAAAAAAGTGGACGTTACTGACCTTATAAATAGCAATGAGGCAAATTCAAGACCTTTAAATAAAAATGAAAGTAAAGCTACTTGGCCAGAACCTGCAGCTTTGGCTTTGTTATGTGTTATTTGTTTGTTTGTGCAGCATTAATTTGAAAACATGAATTATTCTGATATTTTATTTTTTGGGGATAATTTTGGCTTTCTTTCATCATTATTAAAAAAAAAAAATTTTCCACTACCCTTTCAACAGGTAATTCGGACATTTTCCGAACAGGCAAAACCTTTATCCACGATGACAAATGGATAAAGGATTTGCCTTTCGGAAAATGTCCGAATTAGGTGCCTTTCAATATTCCATGTACACGTAACATCCTTAAAAAAAACCGCACATATTGATTTACCATAATGATCTATGTTTGCGAATCGGTGTGACCGATGGCATTTTTCTTTGCGAATTATAGTTAATCGGCGATCTTTTTTCCTTATTGATGTGCAATGAGCGGGAGGATATAACATTACACAACTCATGTGCACATATTTTATTTAATTATTATAATGAATATTGTATTATTATTCTCGTTTTTTTACTTTCCATGCTCTAATGCTTTTAAAAAATCAAAATTTTCACCATTAAATGATCATATAATGTATCTACATTCGGTTTCTCAACTATTTTTAATTTACTTTGTTTGAGAAAATCTTCTTTCTACATGAGCATTAGAAAGGGGTATAAAAAGTGATATTCTAACAACTAATAATATATTTGGATTATTAAAAGGAAAAACCTCATCAGTATCTAAAATGTGTTTCTGCAACTGAATGAAATTCATTTCTCCATTATTATGTTTATAGCGCCAGTGGAAAAGTTTTACTAAATTCTATTCTTGTTTAAATTCTTCTTTGTCAATAATTCCACTAAATTCGTATAACAAGCCCTGTTATTTATGATAACAAATTATCCCTTTCCTTAATAATCAATTACAAATGTATGGCAAATTTAAAACTTATTTCGTTCACATAATTATGGTGTAACGGTACACTCCCGCTGAATTTTACACACTGGGCGGGTGACATTTTTAAATTTTAAAGTGCTTTCGAATCATGGTGTTGACGGTGACATTCAATAGAGTTTTCCCTGTCCTATTATTTATCTAAAGAATAAAGGATATAACCTTATCTATATATTCTCGGGAATAAATGCAGGGATATTCGGGGCATGTAATTCAACTCCCTTACGAAGAATATATCAAATTTCAAATAATAATAATAATAAAAAAGGATACGAATATGGTGAAACTTTCTATTACTATTACCATATTAATATCAATTACAACTTAACCTTTGCTATTTTAAAATAATTTCATGACATAAAATTGCTTTTGGATATGACTTATAATAAAAAATTTATGCTATACCCAAATAGTTACACAATTTATTAAACCTTTACCCAAATTTTCATGTAACTTCAGCAAAACTTGATCAAAATTGGATGTTACCTCAATTATAATCCTCCCTAATCGGCCCTGTATACAATTCTTCCCTAATTTTATATATAGCATTTTCTAATTAATGAAACTCCGTATATTTGTAAATAACTCTTTAGTCTAACCCATGCAAATTTTACTTATTTTTCATTATCTATCATCAACCCTCCACTAAATTAATAGCCATTTAAATCTACCTATAAATGGTTTTAGAAAAAGAGTAATTTCGGCAATAGTTCTGGGCTTTTCAATATTATTTATATAAAATAATCATGCATTAGTTCAGCAATTATGAATATTAGTTTTGACACTTTAGTTTCGATGACTAAGATAGGCAATTTCGGCAACTACCTATAATGTGACCTTTATATGTATTATCAGCAGTCCTGCTCCTATCAGGGTGCGAATATTAGATCCAAATATTGGGAATGCTCCAGTTTTGAAAATTTTTATTTTAAACAAAAATTTATCATATGGGCAGTTTTTATCATAGTGCAAGACCCGAGTTTGTTTTTCGAATGTTTCAAAATGGCATTTTCTTTGAAAATTTTTCTCACTCCCGGTCAAAAAAACTAATACTACCTATCAAAAATTCCAAAAGATCAATGGTTAAAAAAAAATCTCTCTGGTAAAAGTGGATTGCTATTTATGCAAAAGCATAATAATAATAATAATAATAATAATAATAATAATAATAATAATAATAATAATAATAATAATAATAATAATAATAATAGTAATAAACAGCATTTCGCAGATATCAAATAATAAATTCTTTATAATCGCGAGTTGTTTTGTTGGTCTGTAAATGACGTTAGCTCTTCTAATTTTTTTTTTCTTTTAGGTGACATGATGGTTACAATACTATTATAAAATTCAAAATTCCTAATCGGAGAATTCTGGTAGGAAGAGCGGTTAGTTTTTTTAAAAATGAAGATTTTATTATGACATTCTCTATTAATTATATTATTTTTAATTATTACTATTATTTTCTCTATTAATTATATTATATTATTATTTTAATTATTGCTCTATTAAAAAACATATCTACAATAAAAATAAAAAATTTTCCCGTATAATAAAACACTTGATTAGTTAGCATATATATATAACATCATAATTTTTTACACTAAAAATAAAAAAAAATTATGTTCATCGGGAAGAATTAGGTGGTAATAAAGGTGACGAGGATGACAATGATGATGATTTGTTATTTTGATTAATTGATGAGTAAGATGAACTCAGTGAAGAATGTGTTAATGAAGAAGAGGAACATGACATATTCATATTTAAATCTGATTCTGAATGAGCAACTTTTAAATGTGAAGTTTTGATGCCGTGGATTTTTCCATTTTTCATCTTCTTAATATTGCTACTGTCAATATTATTATGATTATTATTGTTATCATGTTGTCGCAACATTTCGTCAACTTTGTTGGTATCAATGCTATAATTGCTTAATGTTTTATTATTCGGTGATAATTTTATAATTCTTTGATCAACACCATTAGAAGCCCTATTTCCATTACCCCAAATAAGATCATCAGCAGTAGCGCTGAAATAGGCTCGATTTGGTGGTTCCGGAAGTAAATCCTCAAGTATCAAACTTTCATTATCATCGTCCTCAATATCAACTGTCAATTTCTTATCATTATGCTCCAAAGTTATTGATGTTGTTGGTTTCTTTTTTCTAAAAAGCGAAAAAATTGTTACTGCTATAATCATGAGAAATACGACAACTGATACAATTATAATTATTGTGCGCCTAACATGGCCGGTATTAATAATATTATTATTATTATCCCCATCACCATTCTGACATTTTTTTATCCCATTAATTTGAACAAGTCGACAATTTCCTGATAAACATTGGTCATTGTTTTCGCAAATTTCCCCATCTGGTAGCGAATTTCGTTGTGAGCATTCAGCTGGATTATACATCATAGTACTGGTGTTGATAGAGTTTGGTTGTTGACATGATGCAAATTGTGTGATGGTGGGGGGTGCTAGAAGTGTTTCTGTTGTAGTCACAGTTACAGTTTCGGAAGCATTTGTTTTATTCGGTGTCGGTATTCGATCTTGTTTATTTTTAATATATAGAACTGTAAAAAAGAAAAAAAAAGGGATAATTGTCAAAAATATATAACTAGATCAATATAAAAAAAATGTCACTCAATTTACGTGAATTGTTGTTATTTGGAGTGGCTTCGGTATAAGCTGTTGAAGTTTTCGTAATCAATGAAGGGTTTACTTCAGTAGGAACTTTAGTTGTAGCGAGAATTCTTATGGGGGTGATATTGAGATTCTGGGCTATATTGTCTAATTGTAATATAGTATTGGTATCGGTATCATTATAAATATTAGTAGTGTATTGGTATTAATAATAAAATTTATATTTTGGCCTCACCATTTTTCCCTAGAATAGAAGCAGCAGCATCAATGGTAACAACGAAAATTTTTAATAATAATAATAATTTCATTTTGTCAAAAAATTGTTAATTATTATTATTACTTTTATTAATAAAAAAAATAGAGATAAGTAAAAGGCAAGGGCAAAAATTAAAAACTCGATTGAAGGAAAAAAGTTTACATTTAAACGTCACAAAAAATTTGTTTATCAAACGTCGTCTCAAAATTCGTTTATTAAAACGTCTCAAAAATTTTTGCTCGCTAAAAAAAATTTCAATGTAAAATTTTTATTTAATTAATATAAATTAGATTTTACTTAAAAATATTATTCAAAAATCGTTATTTTAGTATTACTATATAATATATACATTTATTTATATGAACAATGAATGAAACTCGTTAATATTAAATAAAATGCCAAAACCTATTTTTTTTTGAACAACCAACCAACTCTTTAACCCAATACAGTAAAGTACTTTGCCAAATTTAGAATTTCTAGATTGACGTTCTAATTTTACCATGCGACACTGGAAAAAAAATATGATTGGCCAAATTTTATGCTTAATAATAATAATAATTAGCTTTCATAGATGTGTAAAGGTTTTTATATGATGTTCTTATATGGAGGGATATTTTTGACATTGCTATATGAGTTTATATAAAAGTTCACATTGTATAATTTTGGAAGTTTTTTCAAAATTCTTATTTTTTCAAAACCTATATAGAAAAAATACCTCAAAAGAACATTTTTTCTAAGAACACTTTTTAGAAAAAGTCACTATGTTCCCAACAGGAGGTACGACTGTATCACTTGTTCAACTTTAATAAAACTTATTCATTTGAAATATTCTGAAGGTTCTATTAAATAATTTTAATAAAAATAATATCTTTGATAATATAATTTACAAATAAATTTCTTTGCCAATTCACACTCTCTATAACAGACTGAGAATTTATATGTTCCATGTTAATATATAAATTATTACATTATTATTATAGAGAAAGTGAACTGTATTATTATTTTTTTTCCATTTAAATATACATGATGCATAAATTTCAAAATCCTTATAGTAAAAATAATGGCTTTAATATATTGAATCTAAATCAAAAATAATGTAATGAATTTAAAAATAATTTTTTATGCTTACCTTTCCCATTTTAAATAATAATAAAGGCCTAAATAAAAATATACAAATTAAAGTATTAATTATTTTATAGAAACGAGTATAATAATTATAATTCTGGAAAACACTTGGCAATGAGATTTGTACATTCGACTGCTCAACTGGTTTCTGAATATTTGCTCATAACATCTTCATACAAACATGGTATGTGGTCTAAACGTTTACTGTTAATAATTGTTAAAAATTAAAAATCATAGAAAAAAAGAAATTTTAGGTCCTAAATGTATTGGAGTCTTAGAATATATATATATTCAAAAAGAATTTATTTTTTAAAAAAAAAAATTTTTTTCTCACAGTATATCACACTAACTCATATGAATTGATCAACAAAGAGATTTTCTATTATGATTAGGAAAAGTTCTCCAATTTTTGAAGTAACCAACTTTATTAATAAATATAAACACGATGTTTTGTACAACACCTTAATGAAGATTACAAGAATAGTTACGAGTTTAGTGATGGGATGGATTCCTTAATATTATTAATAACAGTTACACTATAAACCTAATGTTGTAAATAATAAATAGACAAAGTTTTCCCCATACAAATACTTTCGTTTTTTTTTAGAAAAAATCTCTTGAATTTCCTTTTATTAAATAAAAAAAAAAAATATGTATGAATATATACCACCAGGTCCAAATGATAAAAGATCACCATGTCCTGCTATAAACGCTTTAGCAAATTATGGATATTTGTAAGTAGTGAGTGATTGAATAATATAATAATCAAGAGAAAAAAAATCACTCAATTATTATTGTTATTATTATTATTATTATTATTATTATTATTATTATTAATTATTATTATTATTATTAATTATTATTATTATTAGACCTCATGATGGACAAAATGTAACAATGAAACAATATGTTGATGCTCTATACAAAGGTTTTAATTGTTCTAAATCTGCAGGGTGGGCCTTGACAATTGTTGTTTTTGCAAGTTTAAGGGCTCTTTTCAAAGGAAAATTGTGATTATTGTTACTTATTTGTTTGTTTGTTTGTTTATTTATTTATTATTCAAGTCTTTGCTATTTCTTACTAATGAGTATTCTTTTTTTCACTCATAAATTATATAACTAAGGTCACTTGATGATTTAGGAGAGCATAATAGGATAGAACATGATGCATCGTTAACAAGACTTGATAAATTTCTAGGTGATCAGTGTATTGTTAATGATAAATTGGTTGATCAATTACTCGCACAAGAAATCGATTCAAAAATCAATTTGGAAAGTTTGGCAAGATTACGGTTGATTCGTGTCAAACAATCTCAAGAACAAAACAAAGAAATGGTATATGATACCACTAAGAAATACTTGGCATACGGCGAATCAACTCTCTTGTTGAATTTTATGGGTCATAACACTAACGGTCAAATGGATGTTAAAATAATTGAACCTTTTTTTAGACAAGAAATATTTCCTGATGGTTGGACAAAACCAAATCAACAAATTACCATTTCAATGCTTGTCAGTACATTTCGTAAGCTTAAGAAAAGAGTTGAGGAATTAGAAAAATCTGAATCTGATAAGAATTTGGTTGTTGAAGAAAATTCAAAAACAAAAAAAACTGATTAACTCTAATGTTTTTGTTTATTTATTTGAAAATAAATAAAAATGGTGCCTTTATAAAACTAGTTGAAAAAATTAAATACGTGAAAATAAATGTTAACTATAAATAAGAATATACTTTTCGATAATAAATAACAAATAAATAATAATTATTGTCTATAATTTATATATATATATATGTATCTAATCTCTTTGGTTACGACACCAAGGATGATCTATTATTTGATTTATTGTTAATCTTTGATCAGGCTTTGTCTTGAACATTCCTTTTAGTAAATCATGAAATTCATTACTGACGCCTGCACGCTGCAACAGTGATTCATCATATCTACCATTGAGGATTTTGTATTGTAGTCTTGGCTCAAATTTGTCCAGAAATGGTAATTGAGAAGTAACCAATGCAAATATCACAACACCTAAACTCCATATATCGACTGTAGGAATTTTAAGTGGCTTTTTTGATTTTATTTGTTCAGGTGAAGAATATGTCAAAGAGCCACAAACTATATCATCAAAAACAATATTATCAAATCCATTCACATGTGGATTTTGGAATTCTGTTAATCCAAAATCACACAATTTCCAAGTATTATTTCTACCCAATAAAATATTATCCAACTTGATATCTTTATGCACTAATCCCATATCATTATGCAAATATCTTACTGCATTAACAACCTCTAAAAATATATTACGTGCTTCATCTTCATCTAATCCTTTGACAATCTCTTTTTCAACATCTTTATAAACATCAAATGAAAGAAATGAATCTCTCTTATTGTAATTATTATTCTTATTATTACTGCTACTGCTGCTGCTGCTCTTTTTCTTACTGCCATTATTGCTACATTTCTTCATAAGATACTGTAATAGTGTGCCACCAGAACAATATTCTGAAAATATAAAAGTTGCAAAAACTGTTTTTTCAACAGAAATTATCGAAACAATATTTGAATGATTCAGTTTACGCCAAATTAGTATTTCCCTTTCAAGTGACGCCTATATATATAAAATAAAATGAGATATATGTAGTACACACACACACACAGAGAGAGAGAGAGAGATCTTAATTACTATTATTACCTGTATATACTCATTATCATCATGTTTATTATTATTCATTATAATTTTAACAGCAACCTTTTCCATTGAATCTGAATAATTATCAATGGTATAACCTTCTCTTACAGTGGAAAATCCGCCTCGTCCAATAATTCTACCAAGAACATATTTTCCAACTTGTTGTCCTTCATCAGGAATCGAAGGTAATTTCACAGGTTTGGAATCCAAATTTTTCAAAAAAGAAGCGGCTGGTGACCAAGACAAACGTCTTTCGTATGAGTTTTGGGCGAATGTTTCACTTTCACTTCCAATGGTTACATCTGTGGTTGTGTCAGCATTATTATTGTTATGATGATGATGATGGTGGTGATGATGATGATGATGATGATGATGATGATGATGATGATGATGATGACGATGATTACTATTACTATTATTATTATTACTACTACCAATATTATTATTTTGGTAAAAAAGTAAAGGCTTATTAAAATGGTTTGCGTATGAATTTAATGAAGGAGTTGAAACACTAGATTTTAAAGATGGGAATGTTAGATTACAATAATTGGATGAAGAAGGAGGGGAAAATGATGATGATGATGATAATGATGATGATGATGATAATGATGATGATAATGATGATAATGATGATGATAATGATGATGATAATTCTTCAACAATTTTAACATTTTCGCCAGTTAATAAATTCACTTTAAATGTTTTATTATAAAACACAGGAGTCGAATATCTTTTTGAATTTTCACTTTTTGAACGATATTGGCGAGTATGAAATTTTTGGTTTTCTTCTTCTTGTGAATATTCTTGTTCTTGATGTTTTTCTTCTTGTTTTAAGTTATTTTCAAAAGAAGTATAATCATCATTATTGTTATTGGCAGTATTTGTTGTTGGTAATTCTTTTGATTTTTTTTCGGCAGCAGTCATTGTAGTTTCATGAATTGATGTATCGGAACATGCAGTATTATTGTTGTGACGACAACTATCAGGGCTTGTTTCATATTGATGGTTATGAGAATAAGCTGTTGATGGTTGTTTTTGTTGTGTACACATCTTTAGTTACCAAAAAATTTATTGAAAAAGAAAAAATAATAATAATGTCAAAATATTATTAATAAAATTACGGATAAGCTTTTTATTTGACTTATGATGAATGAAATAAGTTTTTTTATTGAGATTTTGATGATGATAAAGATAATAAACTTAGATTTATTTTCGGAAATTGAATTTTCATTATCAAGCGTTTATTAATCACATTCACTCACACAACACATCACTTTTGACATTTGGGAAAAGCAAGGAATAATAATTAAGAGACACATGTCACATACATAAAATTTAAAGGGCGTTTTACAAATCTAAACCTAAATGAAATGAATGAATGAATAATCTGAATGAAGTAAATTCATCACAAGACATAATCAATAATATGAAAAAAAAAAGATTTATTGGAGTTCTGGGATATTTAACGAGTGGGCGAATGGTTGGTACGTAATCCCCTTGGTCTCGATTTTCCTTTAATGATCGGCAAAGTGAAAATAATCTTTTTTAAGAGAAGATTTACAGAAACCATAGTAATAGTGGTAGTAGTAGAAGAATATCCATTTTTATCGTATCATTTTATCCCAAAGATCATTTTAGGGAGTGATACTCTCAGTAAATATTAATATTTCCGAATGAGGACATATTAAAGCTTTAGTTTTCGTGGTACGTATGTAAACAGCCCAAAATTTATAAAGAAAAAAAATAACAGCAGTAACAATTTAAGTCCTAACACTACAATAAAACTACACTGTTTTCTGCTTGGTTCTACTTTAATAAAAATATATATATTCTGGGAGTTTACTGTCTTTTGAAGATTTTTATCAAAAAGAATATGTTTTTTGAGTTTATCTTGTCATATAGTCGATCACTCTCTACTCTTGGCGGATGTTGCTATTTATTTATTATTTGCTATTAGCTTACTATTAAAAGGTTTATGAATTATTAGTATATTAATTATAACTTTTTTGATTTGACAATGTCATCTCATCAAATCTTGAATTGCTTGTAATTCATTACCTATACGTTATGAATAATAATCAGCAAATCTAAAGGCTGGTCTTATTATAGATAAGTTAAATGAAAATAGTAGCAGGGACAGACAATGTCCCGAGGGATCATTTTCATATTAATATTAATATTGAGAAGTGAATGATAATCAATTAAATTAATTGCTTATAGTAACAATTGGCCAGCTTCAAAATACTAAAATTTATATTATTTTAAAAAAGTTAACCAATAAGTTTTATTGTTCATGACTCGAGCTTCAAAACTCATCGACTAGTTTTTTCTTAAACTAAAAATTGGCAGAGCCTTACATTTTGAAAATTCCAAATTTTGTGAAATTAAGTAAATTTGTGTAACAAAGTGGTTTTCATAGAAATAAATATACAAATATGAGACGAATTTTTTTTTCATAGTGGAAATTCTATCACATTTACATTTACATTTTAGAGTTACATACATATTAAAATTCGTTTGAATTATAACTTTAAATTAAAGAGTTTTTTATGTATTTTCTTTTTTGCATGATGTACAAATATATGTATTCGATTTTTTGTGATCTTACATATCCTTTGATACATAATAATAAAGCTTTATATTAATATAATACTTTCCCATTATTGAAGAAATAAAATACGCATATTTGTATATACAGTTCACTCTCTCTATAACAAAATCTCTATAATAAACTTCGCTTTTTTATATAATAATAATTAATTTCTCCTTATAACCTTAATAAACACAAATAAAAAATCACATATAGAGAGAGTGAACTGTAGTAAGTGGGAAACTATTAATAAGAATCCCGTAAAATAAATAAATGTTTAAAATAATAAAGTAAACATACATAGTCAAATAAAACCAACATAAAGATCCATATCAATAAGAAAGTTCTGGAAGAATTAATGTTATATGCTCTGTATGTAATTTTTATCTTTTACGCATTTTAATGGAGTGTGGTCCTAATACCTTTAAATATCACTAATAGGTGTGTATCTTTTCCTACACTTTTATATATTTTTTTAGTGAAAGAGCAAGGTATATATATACAACTTTTTATTTCTTTAAAAAAAAAGATATATATGCTTTTCTTATAATAAAAAATAGTGAAATAAACTAACTTTAATAATAATAATTTATTCTCTACAAAGGTTGTAATTTTTTATCTTAAAGTTGGAACAAAAGAAAATAGATTGAAAAGAAGAAGGATCGAATTAGTAAATCATTTTTATTTATACGGCAGTTTTTTATATTCCTACTTCATATACGTTGCCTGTTCTTATATATATCATATCATTCATATATTTTATGATAAATTTTATCATCTACCTTATATATTTTATATTGAATTCTGTTTATTTGACTAAAAGTTATGCAATTTTTTGCTTCATATGTAACGATTAGATTGATTCGCATCCAAACTTACCCCACATATGTAAATGAAAGTGCATAAGAAAAGATAATAACTGCATAATTTTTTTTAGTTGTTTAATGAATGGTGATTTAAACAATTATGAATTTACGTCATACGACATAAATTAAATTTATCACAATGATTATCAAATTGTGACATAAATAGAATTTCCAATGGTGGTGGTTTTTTTAAAATCAATCAATTTTTTATAGATGATCCGCACTGTACTATATATGCTTTTTGTAATACCTAGCTGTACCCTTATTTATATGTTACACCAATTATTAAAGTTTTCGGGGTTCCTTCCTACTAGATATTATTTTCCTTAAAAAAAGTTTTTTTTAGTAATAATTAATAATGACAGAAAAGAATCAAGGTTTATCAAATATTCAATATATCGAAACAACATCATTACCTGATGATATACCAAAAGTTGATGAAGTTGGTTCAAGTTCTGCACCTTTAAAATCTGCTGCTTTCTTTATTGGAAATTATTGTAAAGATTATAACGATGATTTTATTTTATGTAAAAATGAAAATAATGATCCAACACATTGTTTAAAAGAAGGTAGAAAAGTTACTAGATGTGCAATTGATTTGTAAGTTATCATAAATTTATTATTATTATATTTTTTTTTTGTTCAATCGTCACAAATAATTTAATTCTTTTTTTTATTCTTTGGGTTGATGATTATGATGATGATGATGAAAAATAAGACTTCGTAAATTAAAAGAGAATTGTGATAAAGAATTCGCAAACCATTGGCAATGCTTAGAAAAACATAATCAAGAATATTATCCTTGTAGGTCAGAAGAAAGAATTTTTAATAAATGTGTTTTTAATACTTTGGTATGTAATCGATCAATTAATTAATAATAGAAGTTTTAAAAAAATTATTAATTGAATTGAATGTTTTCTTTAGAATTTGGAGAAAATAATTCCAGATTCACCAAAAGGAAAACCACAAGTTCATCTTAAAAAAAATCCAATATATAAATAACGATTAAATAGCAATTATAACAAAATAATAAAATGTTTAATTTAAAAATATTCAATTTAATATTCAAAAATTAGATTTTGATTTTATTATTTCAAAAATGTAAATTTTTTTTATTGATTAGATTTTGTACCAAAATAAATAAATTTGTAATTATAATCAATCAATCACTGCTTTTTAAATAAATTTCATTAATTTACTTAAAAAAAGATAAGAATGTCTAATCTTGATTTTATTAATCTTGCTCATGCACTTAGTGGTTAGTGGTATTCTTTTTCACCAACGAAATAAAAAAAACCTTTATATTTTAACAGTAATATATATTTATATATATAGGTGCGGGTGGCGGTATGATTTCAATGGCTCTTACTTACCCTTTAATCACTGTCAGTTCTCGTCTTCAGGTTCAAAAAGATTCAAAAGGTCCCGGTGCATATAAGGTAAAAGTCCATTAATAAATATTTCGAAAAATCACAATTTTAATACAATTTTATTCCTATAAATGAATTAGGGAAGTAGGGATGCTATTATAAAAATATTAATGAGCGAAGGTGTTAGTGGGTTGTATTCGTAAGAAAAGAATTAATTCATTGATTTTTTTTAAAAATATATATAATATACTTTTTAATTAATTAACTTGATTTAATAAATAAATAAATAAATATAATGTAGTTTTATTGATTTTTAAGTATATATATATATATATATAATTTTTAATGATTAGCGGGTTAGGCAGTGCTATTTTTGGAATTGCTATAACGAATGGCAAGTTTTTATGTTTTTATGTTTTTATTTTTTTATCCACTAACAAAAAATCAAATATTATTATTAAAATTAAAATTGTTATTGTTTATTATAGGTGTATATTATTATTTTTACGAATTGACCAAAAGTAAAATTATTAAACCAAGTGAGTTTATTGGTGATATATCAGTAAAGCAATCAATGATTGCAAGTTCTATAGCTGGTGCTGCTACTGTACTAATTACAAATCCTATTTGGGTTGTCAACGTAAGAAATTCAAAAATATTCATATTATTTATAACTTTACATATTTATTTATTTATTTAAAGTAATGATAAATTTTTGGTAAATTTAGACACGTGTAACAACACGTAAAGAAACACTTGATGAATCCACCATCACCGCAAAAACAACAAAAAAACCAATAAAAAAAATAGGAACATTAGAAACAATTATAAATATATTTGATAATGATGGAATTTCTGCTTTTTGGCAAGGTGTAACACCTGCTTTGATTCTTGTAATAAATCCCATCATTCAATACACAGTTTTTGAACAATTGAAAAGTCGGTTAGAAAAAACTAAAACATTGAAAAATTCGGATTTTTTTATTTTGGGGGCTATAAGTAAACTTGTTGCCACCACTTTAACTTACCCATACATGTAAGTATGCAGTAAAAACAACAGTAATAAATAATAAATAATAAATAATAATAATAATTTATTTAATATATATAATATTTAAATTATAGTGTTATGAAATCACGTATGCAATTACGTCAAACTTCAAAAGGAAATGGTAGATATCATTCAGTTTTAGATGGAATTAAAAAAATTATTGAAAGTGAAGGAATTAAAGGTCTTTACAAAGGAATCTCTTCAAAATTACTTCAATCGGTTTTAAATGCCGCATTCTTGTTCATGTTTAAAAAAGCTCTTTTCGAAAAAGCTCTATGGTTAATAGTGTATTATCAACGTATATTGAATATAAAAAAAGAGATTTAAATTTCATCATCTCTTAATAATTCTTCCAATTCAAGTTCTTCTTCCATTGTCATAACGGATGATGTTTGAGTATCCGTTGTTGTAGTAGAAGGCTTGGAATCTGATATTTTATCATCATCATCTTTTATGGAATTTTTTTTAATTCTTTCCGCAATATCTTTGGCTATTATTTTATAGTAAATCAAACAAATTCATTAAATATAACTATTCATTAAAACGAATATATATATATATATATATATATATAATCAATGTTTTACCAGTGATAGACCATTTTCTAATAGTGCCATCCAATGATCCTGAATACAACATTGTTCCTTTCACCACTAAACATGAAACTTCATCATAATGTGCTTCAATGATATCAACCAACTCTTCACTCTTTTATTGGATTGATTTAAATTAATAAATGATTGGTAATACAATAAAACAATAACAGCAACAACAATAATAATATATAATACAAACTCCAATATCAAAAATTCTAATTGTTTCATCTCTTGATCCACTAATAACATAAGGATGGGCTACAACAAGACATTTAACAAAATCTGGATGTTCTAATGTAATATCTGATTTACCAGTCTATTTATTTATTTATAAATTTAATGAATGATAGTGATTTATTAATTTATTTATTAATAAATAAATAAATAATATAATAAATAATATTAATACTTACTTCAAGATCCCATCTTTTAACTGTTTTGTCAGCAGAAGCTGTTATTTTAAAATAAATTATGGCAAGAATGAATGAATAAAAGAATAGATAAATATATAACATTAACCCAATAACACAATAATCACTATTTTCCTATCCTATTTTCCTTCTCACCCCCAAAAGAAAAATTAAATTATCATGCCTGTCCACATCTCATCATTTAATAATTTTAATGAATAAACACTTGTCAAATGTCCTTCAATTATTTGTAGGCATTCACCTGTGCTTGTATTCCATTTTCTAATGTACATATCGGAAGATGCAGAGTACAAAAACTTTTCATATTCATCACCATCACCACCTAATGCTAGATCTCCTATACCACGTGTGTGTCCTTGAAAACTTTTTAATTGTTTCCCAGTTACTAAATTCCATGATCTAATAAGTTTATCTGATGATCCTGAATATAATATTGATTTACTTTGTGAAATTACCAATGATTTTACAAAATCTTCATGACCCAAAAAAGTAAATATGCTTTCTTTTGTCTAAAAAATAATATTATTAATGATATAATTTTTAATTAAAAAACCAACCAAACGATTAACTAACGAATAATGAATGAATAACCTTGGTATTCCATTTTCTCAAATTTTTATCCCATGATCCAGTAATTAAATATTCCTCTTGATCCTTATACCACATTCCTATACAAGTAACTGGTCCTGTATGCCCTTTAAATATTTTTAATACTTTACCAGTCTATATTGATGTATGTATATATAATAATAATAATAATAATATATATATATATAAACCAAAAAAAAATTTAATAAATACATTATTGTTCGATTTCGTTTATTTTTATTTTTTATTCAATGTTCGTACCGATAATTTTATTTTTTTTGCAATAAATCCTGATTCACCAATATATAAACAACCGTCCACCAAATCACTTGGACTATTTGATAACATCATACATAAAACTTTCGAGGTACACTGAATTGGATCCCCTTGCTTATTTTGACATTTTGCTTCTCTTCGTTGTTGAATTAATAGATCATTGTTTGTTTGAAAAAAACTATCTCCTGATGTTCCAATTTGTGGTCCAACAACTTGTTCATCCATATTTTTTTTCTCTCTGTCTATTAACTTATCAATTAATTTGGCTATATATTAAGCTATTCTAGCTATCCAATATAAGCCTGAAATATAAACGGAGCAACTCGCAGAAAAACACCCTTTCGAGACTTTTTACAAGATTGAGATCAAATCAATCTGTTACTATTACTACTACGGTGAAAAAGAGGACAGCGTGTAACAATGTTTTCGTTTGATGTTTTATGACGATCTTTTTTATTATGATGGTCCGACTGGATGGACCGCGCGGTCTGGTCTTAGGTATCAAAGACTGTTAAATTTTTTTATCATAAAAGCATTTATTTCAATTTAATTTGTCAACAATATCATAGTTCAATTCAAATTATTAATTAATATATTTCAAAAAGAATATATAAAACAGTTTTACATATATATTAA